GAGAGGGATGAACAGAGCTATGCTTGACTAAGAGAAGAGTGACGGGCTGGGTTGGTTCGGCAAGCTAAGAGGAACAGGCAGCCTAGATGATTCCGGGTTTGCTAGGTCGAAGGTAGTAAGGTCAGCGAGTGGTTTGGGCGTTTTATCGGATGAGGGAATTAGGATGATTGGAAATCGGATAGGGAATGATAGCTGGAGCGTGTCGGTCATCGGGTTTGATAGCAGGCAGTCGACGGAAGGCGGAGGTGTTGGGTTGTAGAGCCGAATTTCACTGGTGAAGGTCGGCGAGTGCAGTCGTGATCAAGACTAGGCTGGTCGAAGGTCTCAAACGAGTTGGGAATTGTACTCGGACGAAATCGGGAGGTTCGATTTCAAGATCCGGAGGGTGATCAGATCGACTGGAAGCTTGCGGTGTGGTGCTGCAGGCTAGAGGATAGGGTGAGAGATTAGGTTGTTTGGAGGATGTGAGGTCGGCTAGTGTATTGGTCTTCAATCTCTGGAGTTCGACACAGGCACAACAGTCGAGTTTATATCAATACTAAGATTTAGATAAAAGAAATCAAGTGAGGGAAAAAAGTCACCTAATCAAAAGAATAAAGCATCACGTTTTTATCAATAGATACCCTCCTTCAAAAATCTTCAAGTCTCCACTTGATCAAAGAATTGACTAATGAAAGTAGAAGAAATAGAACAAAAAACTAGAACTTCCCCTCATATTTCATTATACAACAAAACAAAACAAAAGAATTAGGTTCAGGAAATTCAGTAAACCACAAAAGAAGCAACATCTATCACTAAAATCTCACACAAAATGAGACATGCATATAACCTAAATTGTAGCAAAAGCTTAAATCCCACAACTAAAATCACAAAAGAAAAAATATTCCTATTGGATTTGAATGACCATAGAAACATCAAACCACCATAGTCAACCCACCACAGATATGCCAAGAAACGGAGAATAAAGAGTTCAAGGAAAGCCACCACCCAAATCTAAAAAAAAACTGTAAAAGCTATCAAAATCCTCCACGGTGCTAAACTTCCCAAAGAACAAAGCTGCTCTGCATCTACCAATGTGAGGGGAATTAAGAAAATTCAAATTATAAATATAGTTGCAGGCAGTGCTTGGCATGAAATCTATTGCATAGCTCCTTAAAGAATGAAATCAATTTTATGCTCCATTAAACATTCATCAAAAGAGGTATGTGATGCAAGAGGCTCTAACCAATGCAAATTCTGAAGGTAAATGTACGCAACCATGAAACAAAACTGCTTCCATAAATTCAATCTATGACTTCAAGTCTTAATGAAAGTAACGTAATTGCAACTATAGACAACCAATCCACTGCACATTCATTTAAAAAGAAACAATTTCCATGTTGTTCACTAGGGGGACAAAAACCTTAATAAAAGAGAAATTCTAATAGTTTAACGGACTAAATTAGTTGATTGAATAAAAGATTATTATAGAGATTATGAAGGAATCTTATAAATTGCATGCTTTCTTATATACACTAGCGGATCTATAGTGGGAGCTCTTGTGGCACGGACTCCCACTGGCCCATCTAGTAATAAAAGCCCATCTTGCATAACCTTTTCAAAAGTAAAAAAGGGTGAAAATATAGGGGATTGAACCAGGCCTCTAACTTAGAGAACTAGTGTCTTATACATTGGGAAATATAGCAATTTGTTCTCTTCTTTTTACTATACTTTTACTTAAATTAAAACTAAATCCAACAAAAGTATAATCCCATAATTTCTTGACTTGGTCCGAACTTCGCCACACTAAAAATCATTTATCTATAAAGAAAAATTATGTGTAGGTTATATTTTTTATAAAACTAATACCTAAATATTTAATGTGAAATAAAATAATAATAAAATTTTGTGTAATATAACTAATAGAATATAAAATATATTGATATTCTCGAAGATCAAATTATTATTTCACTATAAATTATTAAATAGAATAGTTAAAAAATCATTCGAAAAAAAAAAAATTGAGAGTATTTTAAAAATCATCAATTTGTATGCGTACTCATAAAAATTTATGTCTCCGCCCCAGCCTATATATCTAAACAATACTTAAGACATGCTAACAATAGTATATTGATATTTTAACAAATCAAATATGTGATGAGACATTAACAAGGTATATGTTACAATAGGAATTGTATAGAAAATAGTTTGGAATTATCAATTTGTGCCACCACTAACAAATCAAATATCTACAACAACAAGTCTTTATCCCACTAACTGGGGTCGACTAAATGAATCCATTTTCTCTATTGTGTTCTGTTAAGAGACATTCTCATTTAAATCAAATAAAGAAAGTTCATTTATAATATTTTCTAACCAAGTTTTCTTATGTCTACCTCCACCTTTCTTAACAAAAGCCAAATCTCATACATCTACTCCCTTAATTGAGTTATCAGAAGGTTGCCGTTTTATGTGACCAAACCATCTAAGGCGACTCTCTCTAATCTTATATTCCACTAGAGCCAAGGTTTAAAATTGCGTAATTAAGCCTCGAGGCGGTTTTCGTCCGTGAGGCGAGGCGTAAGCCTCGAGGCGGTCTGAGGCCTAAGCCTCACGGACACAAAATTGCGTAAATGAAAAATCAAGGGTTTTAGCAGGAAAATAATAGCAATATTGTACCTTACAATAAAAACATCTAAATGATATATGAAAATAGTGGAAAATAAGAAAGTAGATGCAATAACATCATGTCCCAAAATACAAAATCACAAAATATTAGTTTAACAAAACTCCCAGAATACAAAAAACATATAAAATGAAATCATATCCCATCACTAAATGGGTCTTTAAGTGAGTCTTCTTCTCCAATTGTATCTATGAATGTCATGTCATCATCATCTTCAACATGACTCACTTTTCTCTTCCATGTTCATAAAGAGAAAAGATCATTATCATGTATTCATGTTCATTGCTCACTTGACATAAATGTAATGTAATAGCATATAAGAAGTTGTGGAATACCTTTACTTGATTGTTGTGCTGCAGAGCTAGTGGATGTGTGTGGTGTAGTACTAGTGGATGTGCCAACTTGATCTGCTTCGCCCCTCAAGACATCCACACTTAGATCTTCTAACTGTAAGTCTGATGATGGCAAATCTGTCTCATCATCTATGAACCACTCATTATCAGACAACACATCATCACACACTAATGGGTCCTCATCATCCTTCAACCCCTTATTCCTCAACCTCCTCTCTCTCAACCTCTTGTTGTGCATAATATATACGAGAGAATTCATTCTGAGTGTTGATAGCCGATTTCTTCTCTTTGTTTGCACTTGGCTATATGTACTCCAGTTTCGCTCACACCCAGAAGAAGAACAAGTGAGGCCCAACACTCTTACAGCAAAACTCTGTAACTTAGGGGTGGAATCACCAAATTGAATCCACCATTCGTCTTTTCTTTACCTCTAACCATGTCTCCTAAAGCAAAAAGCCTAATACACTAAAAAAAATCAAAAAAATCTAAACCCTAGTTTTTCTTAAACTTGAAAAATATATCCCTAAACTTAATAGAAATACCTAAAATCCAATGTGGAGTACTCCCAGAGGGCGGCCGGAAGTTTCCACTTCGCCGGAGAGTGGCGGCGCCGGCGGGAGAAGCAGCGGGAAGGAGGCCGACGGCGTGCTGAGGCGCAACCTGGAGCGTGCGGGAGGGAGAAATGTCGGGTTTGCTCTTTGCTGAAGGCTATCGGGTAAAAGGAGAGAAAATGGCTCATTTTTAGTGAGTGGGCCCTATCCCAGAGAGGCGTACGCCTCACCAGGAATTGCGCAATTGCGCCTCTGAGGCGCGCCTCAGTCCCAGTGAGGCGTACGCCTCTTAAGGACACATAATTGCGTAGGTTATGAGGCGTTTTTTGAAGGAATTGCGCAAAGGCGCGCCTCTAATTGCGCAATTTTAAACAGAGACTAGAGCTACTCCATTTTCACGTATATGCTCATTTTGCATCATGTCTCTAAGAGTAAGCCACTCATCCACCTAAGCATCCCCATCTATGCAACACTTAACTTAACATTATACTTTTCTTTTAATGGCCAACACTATGCCATAAAGCATTGCAAGTCTCGCCACCATCTCATAGATTTTTCCCTGAAGTTTGAGGACTTTCTACCATACAACAAGCCCAATGCATTCTTCCACTTCAACCATCCAACTAGAATTCTACTAATAAAATCCCCATCTATCTGAACAATAGACCCAAGATATCTAAAACGTGTACTCTTATTAATGACTTGATTACCCAAAGTTGCAATCCCTCCACTGGATCTATTACTACTAAAATTACACTCCATATATTCGATTTTAAATCTACTCAAACGAAAAACCATTAGACTCTAAAGTTGGCCTCCATAATTCAAGTTTACCATCAACTCCCTCTCATAAAGCATACACCAGAGTACAACCTCTTGAAAATGTCTAAAGAAATGGGCTTAAGGTTGGTCTTTGATGTAATCTAGCTGAAATAGAAAAATACTCTGTCAAACCACCTTGTGTTTGAACAAAACAAATATCAAGATAATATGAAATAATCAAATATGTGATGAGTGGAAAAGTAAAGGATTAGTGAATCACCTATTAATAATCACTCTTAACCAATTTCAACCCTACAAAGGTTAGCTACAAAAAATAGTTGCAAGAGAATTTCATTATGGAAGCAATAAGAGAAAATGGATAAAAAAAATTTGCCTCAGTAGAAGATCGCAAATTAAGTATAAAAAGTTGTTATGCATGAAATAGAAATATAAATTAATCACAAAATATAAGCTATGAACTAAACCCTTATCTAGTTTTTATGGATCATCCATCAGAATAAATTTGGAATTGTACTTTTTACATAAAAGATCCTCAGAATTAATATATGACATAACAGGATGCTTACCGCATCATGACTTGTTGAATGCATAGAAAGTAGTACCTCCTTCACGAAAAGGACACAGAAAAGGGAAAGAATGAAGACCTACCTTGTCAAATGCTTGACGGCATTCAGCTGAGGGAGTGCCAACAAATGGAACGTTCGCTTTCTCCAATAGCTCCTAAATTTTTTAGGCAGAATAAAAAATACAAGAAACTTTATGATAGGGAAAGGAAAAATATGTTTTAGCAAACTTTTAAACAACCAAGGTTTTCGGTTATATGGCATTCCCAAAAGATAAGGACAAAATTTTCTGGAGATAATGTTAGGTTGGCCTTGAAAGAGCTGAAACAGAAGATCGGTCGCCACACAAAGAGAAAGAGGCCATGGTCTCTAGGTTTTAGAAAACTAATAGGTCACATAAGGCAAATACATGCACCAAACTACCCATTATAATCATAGGACAAACCTGAATGCCTCCATCCTCACCAAAACGGCCATGAATAACAGGGAAAACTATATCCACAGAGATAGAAAGGTGCTCCGCAAACTCAGTTAAAGAACTAAAAGCATGGGCGAGGCTGCATGAAGAGCAGTATAAGTTAAATTGCATACAAACAGCATAAGCAAGAAAATAATGAAGCAGAACGTTTTGATTTAACAAAGAACTACAAACCTTTCTAACTTGAAATCAAAATCAGCGGGAGTATTTGAGTACAACTGTCAAAAAAAAAATGTCCATCAAAAAATATAGATCATAAGTATCGTTAGATATTGCAATATTAGTCTTCAAACTCCTTAACCATGACCCAACAAAATATTATTTCTCTATAACAGGAGAAGATAGTGGGCTAAGTGCAGATCTATATAAGAACCTTTAAGAGACTACAGAAATAAAAATGAATACTGCAATAATCCATCAGGCTACTCAAAATTTACCATCACAACAAGTGTTAGAAAAATACCATAATCTGATAACTAATTGACACATTAATTTGTTACCATTTGTATGGACACAACTCAATTCTGTGAAGCAGCATAGGTGAAAAGCAAAGGTACAGAGTAAGGTGCAAATGGAGCATAAATGAGATGAGGGGATCCAAAAATCAGAGACACAACAGTAATTAGCCATTGCGCATATTTATATAAACATAACTATCAAGTCAAAAAGTAAATTGTGTAAACAAAATTGGCAGAAATACTAACCTGTGCAGAAGACACTGCATAAGCATTGAAATCAAAATCAATGTAATAGCAGGTAACATTCAAATCTTCTCCCTGAGGTGAACAAAACAGAAAGTTAAAATAACAATTTCATTCCCAGAAATATGTAGTTTAGGCAATCAGATAACGGAAAGAATTTTTGTTTTCATTAGGCAGAAGAACTGGTACGTTCTCATTTAGAAAAAGTCCCCAGGTTATGCTCAACCAAGAGCAAACTCTCAGTTGTTATTTATTTAAAATTTTGAAGCCACGAGCATCATTGGTGAAGACAAAAGTGAGGAAATGGGGAGAAAACCATTACAAAGGCAGGGTTCGATGAAATGCAAACTCATTTAAAACATAACAACGAAAAATATCAGAAGATAACACAAATAAAAACAAAGGTGAAATTTTGATGTGTAATGTAAACTGAAGTTTCACTATAAAAATTAATCTCAATGGCATATCTGGGTGTTTAATCTAGGCAATATCTAGCATATAAAAATAAACCGTGCGTATCATTGGGGAAAAAAAAATGACTTAGGTGAATGAATAACAATATACGGGTAGGGTCTAAAGAAACCGTTTGAACGTCATTTTTCATGAAATGGTGACTCATTTACAACATAATAAGGAAAAATGTCAAAAGATAATACAACCAAAAGTAAAGGAGACTATTGCTGTGTAAAGTAAACCTAAGTCTCAATGCAAAACTTTAATATCAACGGACTGTCTAGGTGTTCAATAAAAGCATTAGAAAAATCTCACATATAAAAACATAACCAAAGAATGGGACAAAAAGCACAGACAACTGGCGGGTTTAAAGCATGGTTTCACGTTTCAGCAAAAACTGACTACTTTAGCCACATCTGGATCAACCTTATATCCCAAACTGATTAAATTGACTCTGGTCCTCAGTCTAAGCCAATTTTTCACAAATGATCTAAGTCATTGGCTTAATTTTAGCGGGTCAGAAATAATGGTAAGCAAAGGCGTAAACCAAGGGTTGATGCAAATCAATGAATGTCAAAGCTCTAGCTAGGAAATCTAGAAGTGGAAAGCACTACAGTCTTATTCAAGACTTATGGAACACATTCGATAAAATGCCATATTGTTGAAATACATCAATGCATCTAACATACCGTAACAGTTATTGCAAATTCAGTTTGTTATGATTAGTGGATGACATGAAAAAATTACTTATAATCTGACTTAAACCACTTGAAGCCCTTTGAAAGTACTTTTGAAGATATATTAAGCTTTAATAATTGTATCCACTCAATAAAATCTAATATTATGCAAGGTTTGTTAATGCAATCAAAAATTTGGGGAGGGATCCAAATTTTTTATCACAAAAACACAATCAACTTCCTATATAAAAGAAGACACAAAATACTCAAAAAGAAGAGATAACTTAGAAATTTTAGAATAAACTCTTACATTTCATATAAACGAACACTTTTATAAATAAAGACTTACAACTCTTAAAATTAAACGACTTACAAACAAAAACTCTAACAAGACACCCTAAACTTGCTTACATTGAGAAGAGGGATACAGGTGAGGTGGTCACTTGCGGAGAGACGAAAGAGATTAGAAGCCGAGAAGAAGGGTGGAAAGAGCTCGCAAGATTTCCTAGAGGAGAAGAGAAGAAGAAGTGGACAAAGCTCGCAAGCTTTTCCAACAAAACCCGCAGGTTTACATTTCCAAAAATCATTCAAAAAACATATTCCTAACAACCCAAAAACATCTACTATTTATAGACATGAGAGGGGAATACAAATAGCCACAAAACATTAATTTAAAAGCTAATTAAATAGGGAATATGAAAAGCCAACAGTCAATTCCAGGAAACAAAGCATCAAGCCACGGAAAAGCGCCCATACACTCACGGGAAACAGCCCAGCCAGGAACCGAAGAGGCAGCCGCAAGAACCAAGGAGCCAAGGCACGGAAATCCAAGAGCCAACCGTGGGAACCAAGGAACCAACCACGGGAACCAAAGGGACAACAAATGGGGGGAATGAACCTAAATTTATGAGCTAAAAAGGCTCTCTACAAGAGATTAATGAGCTGATATCTAGTAGAGGAAAGCATTTATGAGCTTGAAACATAAGAAGAGGCTCATTAATGAGCTGATTCAAGTAGAACTTACAAAATTTTCAACTCAACTTGTTTTGATCCATTCCTTGCCTACATCATTTGTCTTCTCATAATCCTACATATTATAAATAGAATTAGGGGTTCTTTTCATTCTTTGGTGTGATGTTCTTCAATTTATGGGAGAAAGTGTAACACCCCACTGTACCCCATTACAATACAGTAGAGTAGCACATCATCAACATACATTTTCATATCATTTAAACATTTGCTACATTTCATTCATAGAATTTATATAAAATTTCTAAGAACATATCATTCACTGAATAAACGGAAGCATCTATACTCCAAATTTCATCAATATAAACTTACAGAGTCACTAAAGAAAATCCAAATTTAGACATCACTGAACTAAAATGTCTACATACCGCTGATGTAAACTCACACACAATTTAAATACTAAAATATAACATAGAAGAACTTTCAACTTATTATGCAACAACTTTTTCCTTTCATTTACCTATAACAACAGTCAATATGAAATAGCTGGTGAGCTATGAGGCTCAATAAACTATACAAATTAAATAACAATTAAAATGCAATATTATAATAAATTATATTATTGAAATCATCATTGAATCAACTTACCATTATTTATAAAACATCATAAAATCATATTTGACATCATCCTTTATTTCATTTGAAGTAGATATTGAATATTAATTTTAGTCTTTAGAAAAAATATAGGCAAAAGTATCAATTTTTTCTTAATGGGCATTTATTGGTGGGCCTGTTTTTTCTTTTGTTGGGCTTGGCCCATTTGTCCTTAGCTGCTTAGTGTTTGGAGTTCACGATTAATGGGTTTCTTTGGCTGTTTGGTTCCTGGGCTGGATGTTGGGTTGCCTGGCTGCTCAGTTACGTTCTTTGGGTTTTTCCCTTGTTTTGATTGGTTGCTTTGGTGGCACTTGTGGGAGGCTGTTTGTATTCTTTTTCCATATTTATAAGGGTTATTTGATGTTGTTTAAGATAGATTTGAGATGAATTTTTGGAGCATGAAACCTGTGGGTTTCGAATAGCTTACGAGCTATCCTCTTCTACCTCCTCTCTTTTTATAATTCGTCTCGGTTTCTAATCTCTTTCTTCTCTCCACGGCATCCATTCCAATTGTATCATTCTTCTCTAAACTTCATTAATAATAAGTTGGTTGTGCTGTTTACAAGTTGAAAGTAGTGTTGTATTTTTGTACTTGAAGTTTTCTTTTTTTTTTTTTTTTGCATCAAGAAGATCTGGTTACTTTCATAAACATATTCAACAGAGTCCTGATAAATCTGACATTATCGTCATTGAATAACATAGAGGCCCATTTTTTCCTCTTTAGGGGTCTCTTTAGCCCCACCTACTATGCATGTATCAAATTCTCTGGAATACCTTTTATCCCATCTACAATACAGGTTTCATATTTGAGTCCTTTTTGCGCACCTGATTGCATATATCATATGATATAATAATTAATATTTATTAAACTCATACATTCATAATTTATAAATGATTAATATGATTATAGACATTCTACAATTTATATAACCTTACATCTATTGCATGTAGAATTTGATATGCATTACTTAAAGAATGAAACTTCTTTTAAACATATTATCAACTAAGAAAATATTAATTTTAAACATATTATAACCTAAGAAAATATTAAAACAATCATGCGTGTTCGCATATAAAACTTAAATTGTTCATATTAATATGCAATTGCTTATACCTAAATACTTAATGTATTTTCCTATTTACTGTTGGCATCTTCCCAAGTCATTTCATTTCTCAAACAACACAGATAACTTTATAAATATATCAAGAAAAATTAGTTCTTCAACTTGTAAATTCAATTTACACACTTACCTTCCTAATGAGCTATCTCTTCAAATTCTCTACCTCTTACTCAAACCTACGCTTATAAGTCACATACAATCACCTCTCCAATCATATAAATATCACAATCTGTTATTTAATAAAATGTATAACATAATCCTATACTTAACATCAATTACATCAAACCCTTCCTTCTGCATATATTTGATGAATTCTCCTAAAATAAAAATTAGGATTATCATATAAAGAACTTAATGGCTTTAAAAAAATTAAAAGCTAACAATAAACTCTTGCAAGTTTCATGACCAAGTATTTCCCTATTTCGGTTGGGTTACATCAAGGATCAGCCTTAAGCCCATATCTTTTTGCTTTAGTCATGGATGTTCTCACTAGACATTTGCAAGAGGATGTACCTTGGTGTATGCTTTTTGCTTATGATATTCTTCTTGTTGATAACACTAGAGAGGGAGTTGAAGGTAAACTTGAATTATGGAGGTCAACCTTAGAGTCTAAAGGTTTTCGCTTGAGTAGATCTAAAACGGAATATATGGAGTGTAATTTTAGTAGTAATAGACCTAGTGAAGGGATTGTGACTTTGGGCGATCAAATCATTAATAAGAGTACACGTTTTAGATATCTTGGATCTATTGTTCAGAGTGATGGTGAAATAGATGGGGATATTATTAGCAGAATTCAAGTTGGATGGTTGAAGTAGAGGAATGCATCGGGCTTGTTATGTGATAGAAATGTACCCCTCAAACTTAAGGGAAAATTCTATAAGATGGTAGTGAGGCCTGCAATGCTTTATGGTGCTGAATGTTGGCCATTAAAAGAGAAGCATAATACTAAGTTAAGTGTGGCAGAGATGAGGATGCTCAGGTGGATGAGTGGCTTTACCCTTAGAGATAGGATACGAAATGAGCATATACGTGAAAAGGTTGGAGTAGCTCCAGTAGAAGATAAAATTAGAGAGAGTCGCCTTAGATGGTTTGGTCACATAAAACGGCGGCCTTCCGATGACTCGGTTAGGAGAGTAGAGGTATTAGATTTGACTTATGTTAAGAAAGGTAGGGGTAGACCTAAAAAGACTTGGTTAGAAAA